TAAACAGACAAAAAAAACAAGTTTTGTAAACCTTATCAATTGTCAAAGTGGCGCGAAATTTGTAATACAAATAAAGGCGACGTTCTACTCGTACATCCGCACTCGTAGGCACATCCTTCGTTATGTAACACACATGCAAGCTTCGTGGTGCAGGATGAGATCGTAATTACGATAGTGTCATGTCGATAACGTTCTCGTGATAACGTATCGCACCTCGATTAACGTTTACACGTTCTTTCTAATATGTAAGTCCGAAAGCGATCGAACGTGCACGTCCAATAAATCCGGTATTAGTATCTTTCTTTAACAGTATACGAGAAAGAGTAAGAGAGAGAGAGAGAGAGAGAGAGAGAGAGAGAGAGAGAGAGAGAGAGAGAAATGAAGTAAACTTACACACGCACACGCCATCAATTGTACGTAATGCATTAACATTTTAAATTCAATCGGTATATTGATGCCCTTGAACAATAATGAACTCTCTTTCTCTCTCTCTATATATCTCTTCCTTTCTATCATACTTCTTACTCTTTCTCTCTTATTTAAGAAAAAGAGAGAGGACATGCGACTTTAAATTCAGTTATATCATCTTTCGTAGTCAGCTGTAAGAAGGCTATTCGTATCCTGGACGCCGATAAATCGGTAGTCACCTTTGCTCATGTCGTATGTATGTTACATACGTAAGAACGTACCTCTCGCATTTTTTCTGCAAAGAAGAAGAAAAAGAAGGGGAAGTTGAGTGCTCGTAGAAATTAAATCCGAATCGATTCGAGGGACGTACGCACCCGCTTCTCTTATGCTTTTATCTCTTTTCCTATCTTCATTGACCTTCCGCGAGAAGAAGATCGTGCTATATTCATATATATATTATATATATATATATATATGCACACACATATAGTAGCATACATTTGTATATACGCCTCGTTATAATAGTTACGTTTCATTCGTTCGTTCTTAACCAATTAAAAACACGTATATCCTGCGCGACACTTGAAAACGACGCTGTCGCGACGCGCCATTCACGATCGATCGTTGGACGACGAAATGTCACTAAGTTCACGGCCGCGAAAAGGATCTATTCTACCGACGACAAATCTACCGTTCCTATTGGCTCCGTCGATAAGACTAAAACCTTTTGATCGGATTATTTTGCCTTGAAAAGAAGAGAGAGATAAGATTATATATATATGTATGTTGCTTTCATATAATATTGAGCATGCCCTATGAAAAACTAATCATTTGTTTTCTTTTTTCTTTTTTAATTATATTAATTTAGAGATTCTGCGTATTATTATTTTCTATTAGACCGTAAAGTACTGTCAAGAACGTACCGTTACTTTTAGAATAATTATCTTCGTTATATTCGAATACATTCGTCATTCGAAATCTCCCTGCAAGTTCGATTTTTAAAAAACTGACTTACAATTAGAAACACGAACGCATTTACCATGCTCATCTAAACACCTCGCTCATCGTCGAGATAATACATAGAAAACTTCAAAGGCAAATGGACATTATCCATTCATATTCATGAATCTACTATTATGAACACCCTTCTCGTTTCTATTCTCATGAAAACTATACATCTTGCTTTCTGTCTCTCCTCGAAAATTGGATAGAAACAGGATACGAGGCCGCTTAAATAATTATCGAAACCTATTGTTGTATAGATCTCTTTTGTTTGCACGTGTTTCTACGGGTTCTTTTTTTTTGAATAAACTAAAAGTTAGCTTTGAAAGAAGCGCATATACGTGTTATTTATTGTACGGTTAAAATAATTAAAATGAATTTGCATTAATAGATAAAGAAAAAAATTAAGCAGAACCCATGTTTTTATTAGTAATGGCGCCAAAGATTAAAAAAGTTAGTATGATTAAAGAAATCATTTAATATTCATGAAACAATATTCATTTAACGGAAATATTAATATTTCTTCCTAATGGGTTCATTGTTTAAAATCACAACATCGACCTAGTATCGATCTATAAAACGTGTTTCCTAGAGACCGATCACAAGATTTATTGCATGCATAGCTGGAAAGTGGAGGGGAGAAGGAAAACACGTGCATCGTCGTTGAAGAAAAAAAAGATGAAAAAAAAGGAAAAAAAAAGAAATTTAGCATGCGAAGGAGGTTATATCCTACCTTCTTTCTGCTCGGTAGAAAAAAAAAACATCAAAGTTGTGGTAGAAACGACGAGAGGATGATATCGACGACGATAAACGTCGACAAATAACGTCGGTGTTCTTTCGATATAGTAGACGCAAGAAAGAAAAAAACAAAAAAAAGAACAAACAAAACACACGTAAGAGACACTCTCTACGAAGGATACACGAAACGTCGGAGGGTGATAAAGAAAAGAGAAGAAAAAAAACGTGAAAGAAAAAGATTAGACGCGATTTAACGCACGCACGTACGCATGCACGCACGCACGTACGCACGCTCATACAAAACATCCGCCTATGTCGGCTGCCGGCGCACGACTGTGGATAATTCGCGCTCGCGACCGGCCTAGATATATGGAAGTTATTTTTAGCGAATGTTGTCACTTACCATAGTTTCTATTGGTCTGCGATGACGTCGTTCAGAATGGCCAAACATTGTGATTCGTCCGAGATGCGAATACGGTCGAGATCGCGAACGACACACGAAGTCAGTCGCGCATCGTCTTTGGGCGCGACTCGATTTTCTTCGCGCCTGAATCTGTCTTTCTTTTTCTTTCTCTTTCTCCTTCTCTCTGTTCCCTTTTTTCTCTTTTTCTCTTCGACTGAATCCTTTTTTCACCCTTTCTTTCGTTATATGATAACGATTTCTCTCTCCGCTCTTTGTCGTTTTTTTATTGACACGTCAGATGATTCTAGAATAAATAAGTTACCTCTTGATACCCGCTTCTAGATGCTAATAAATTACAGTAAGAGTGACTACTCGAGAAACACTTCACACTTAATCGTTAGAAATTCACTAGTGTCAAGGTTAATGGTAAATTCTGCTCGAAATAAAGATCTAGGAAAAATTAAATTAGTTTATATCTTTTTGATGGGTAAATTGTCAATCAAGTTTCAGGTGAATAAATATTATTTATGGATCATATTGGTAATGATAATGAAAGGAGCATTAACACACCGTGCGGCATGCTGTGCTATTAATTTACGCGGAGCTTTCGAAAAGCCTTGAGGCTGAACGCCGTGCCTCTTTTCTGTTGTATGAAATCACGCTATTTCCACGGAGTAACTATTATATGAAAATTACATGCTAAAATTAATCATGGATAATTACCAAGGGACAAGCACATAGATAAAAGATCTAATGAAAAAATAAAAAGAATTATAGGGGAAACTTGCGCTTTCTCGACATAATCTCGCTTTGATCCTACAGATGATGAAGATATGCAAAATGAGTGGAGTAATGGTAATGAACAATGCACGTGTTGAGTGCAGGATCGAATACATTTCACCATTCTTAGTCATTAATATAACTGGCACTATACCTCTTGTAATTTAATATTTCTAATATCTCGTAAGAAAAGAAAGATTATAAATAATTTAATTGTTGTTTTTATAACTTAAATTTAATGGTTTGAAATTTATTATATTTTTCCTATACATTCTCATAAATCAAAATACAAAATATTGCCTATAAAAATATAACATAGTATTAAAAAATAAATGATTTGAACTACGAAAAAATATACATAAATAATAAATTATAATATATCTTTAAATTATAAATGTTGATTTATTTTGTAAATTATGTATTCTCTTATAGTTATGTACATATTTAGATTAAATTAAATTATGTACTGGCAAAATATTGGATGTCAGATAAAGTGACATCTGATGAGTTGCCATGGAATTAATGAAATATGATGATTTTCATGGTTAGGGAAAATGTTCAAAGATACTTTTAAATATTATAAAAGACGTAATCCATTGCCTGATTTAACAAATGTAATTGACTTTAATTATCCAGATATTATTAAAGTATGTATGTTTGATGTATTATACCTTTTAATGTATATATATATATATATATATATATATATGTTTATATATATATATATATATATATATGTATATGTGTATTTATTTCTAGGTTAAAAACATTAAAACACATTTTACAAATGACACATATGAAAAGAAATTTGGGTTAAAGTGTTCCAAAGATTGGAAAATTTATGAGTTGTTAAATATTCCAGGTAAACTAATATCATTGAGTAATATTTTCTTTAATTTAACCTAATGTTTATTATTACTTGCAGGACTTATTTTCATTGAAAATCCATTTACGACAAGTGGTCATCATTATTGGATCATAAAATGTTTGAAGGATTATTCGAGGAAACCAAATAAATTAAATTTAGATGCTCATAATATTTTAACTGATGAAACTTGGTGGGACATATGTTTCAGGTAAAAAAAATACTCGTAATTATATTTTAAACAAATTATTTTTTTTCATTTCTTTTTGTAGATCCAATAATAATAATAGAGCAGAAAATTTACTCCCAAAGTTAAGATGGGCAACACTGGGATACCATCACGATTGGGATACAAAAGTATATTCTGAAAATTCTAAAACGCCTATGCCTATTGAACTTATCGAATTAACACAGTTTCTAGCTAGGGTATTAAATTTTCCGGAATTTAAAGCAGAAGCAGCTATTATCAATTATTATCGAATGAATTCTACGTTAGCAGGACATACCGATTGTTCTGAACCAAACCTAGAAGCACCGCTTTTTTCCATTAGTTTTGGACAGACTGCTATATTTTTGATAGGTGGTCTTTCGCAAGAAAATCCAGCAGATGCTTTATTTTTACGAAGTGGTGACATAATAGTAATGACTGGTAAATCGCGTTTAAGATATCATGGAATACCTAAAATTTTATCATCCCAATTAGTTCCTTGGGATATGGATGAAACAGAGACTAATGAAAATGACTGGATTCATGCCAAAAAATACATATCTAAAGCTAGAATAAATATAAACATAAGACAAGTATTAAAAGCTAGCCAATTGACTTTATCTTAAATTATAATAGCAAATGTTATACAGTGATGTAAAAAAGTTTATAGGAAACTATGTATTCGTTTTACCTCTTAAACATAGCTATTATCGTAATAAAAACTTAATTTAAAGTCATTCAATAAAAACTTATGTAATATATTATTTTAAGTCGCTGTCTTTGTCTTGTTCTATTACATTATGATAAAAAATAACAGAAATATTTAAAAAATCCCATGCTATTGTTGCCATTCGTGTTAAAAAATATTGAGACTTTTTTGTATGGTCTTGCTTTGAATTTGCCGATTCATTAGCATCTGCATAAATACGAATATTTGGAAGGCATGATGAAGAAACACTTGAAGTTAAATATGGTTTGAGTATTATATTAGTAGCATCATGTATTGCTGTGTTCAAAATAAAATTTTTTGAAATATCTGGAGCATGGATTATCATTTTTTTCCTTTTTTTAATTCACTGAAAATGACATTAATCTTCATTATCTAACAAATCAAAACGTATATAAGATAATAGAAAATTCGTATAATTACAAACCTTGTATAAATCGTTCAATGTTCAATGTTCTTTTTTCAATATGTCCATTTCATGAAAGCACATTAAACTTTAATGAAATTGCTCTAATTATTAATCCATTAAAAAATTAGTCAAATATTGTCATGCTTCAAACGTATGTTAAATTTTATGAATGACAAATGTATGACTTAGAAAAAAAAGTTCTATTCATCCGTCTGAGTATTTCGTCGCATGCGTTTCTAATTATTCCTGGTCTCCAATAACTTTGGTGTATATTTTTTGAATTAGCAATGTTTAAATCTAATCTGAAAAAATTATTTGATTTGTCTTCTTGTATATGATAATAGCGATTCTCTATTGTCAATCGTTTTTCAAAAGAATTTTTCAATTCAGTTAATGTCATATTTTAGTATAAAAGAATTTTAAAAAGTCAAAATTACGTTTCTTTACTCTTAGAATACTTAAAATTTAACAAATTAAAAATATCGAAATAGGCCATATAAAACAAAAATACAAAGATTGAACATATTACTACATACATAAAGTATAAAATGATATCTTTACAATAAAAAAAGGTATAATATTACCATAATTTATACAGAAGAAGCATATATCTATCAAATGTATTTCAGATACAATTCAATAGACGGCGATAGCTGATACTTACCATTATAAAATTTGTCTTCGATCTGTCGCTAGATCATACGTTCTTAATGAGCACTATATGATTTAAATTTACAGATATACAAGTGTACAAGTTCTAACATAAGAGAAATTTAGCTTATGCCCTACTCTAATATTTTTAGAGTGTAGAGTCCTGATAAATTTAAAAAGTCTTGATATAATTTATAATTTCGATAGTTTTCATTAATATTTTTGTTTTTCTTGAAAATCAAAGAATACAATTTTATAAAAAATGAAAATTCTGTTGAAATATATTTTAATTGATAATATACTCTCTGTGAATACAAATATTTCTTATGTCAAAAATGTAAACCAGTTTTTTTTTTCTTTTTCTTTTTTTTTCTTTTTTTTTTCTTTTTTTTTTTTTTTAGATCTGCGACACTAACTGCTTAAACAGTAAATTAACTATCGTAAATAACATTGTGCGGACCAGCCTGCTAATGAAATTTATTACAAGTAAATTAGGGCAGCCTGGTTTTATTAATTTTGATCAACAAGACTAGAGTAATGGTAATTGTTCAGCATGTAACAATTCAGTAGCAGCTGCAGAATCAGCACACATAACTAATGTAATGCCTGCTTGGTAAGATGCAGGTATACGAATATGAGTTGTACCAATAGTTGTAACATTAGGCTGTTGTCTCTGATTCATTGCTTCTCGTATCATATTTACAACTTGTCCTGTTATAAAAAAAGAAATTTTGGGAGCATATATACCAAGTTATTAATTTGTAAAAAATCAAAATAAATAAAAAGCGGAATCTAGTAAGTATAAATTCACCTAGAACATTAAGTTTCCTCCATTTCTGATCCATCTTTGCAAGAAGTGTTAAATCAGTATTTACATTCCAACGTGCCAACACATCAGCTCGTCTCACTAATAAAATACTAGGGCTAACAAGCTGATGCCAAACTAGCTGAAAATATTAAGTAAAATAATAATTATATATTTATAATTGATTACTTCCCAAATTTTAACTTTATTAACAAACCTGTTCTGGTAAACATTGTAAAGGATTCGTTAAATATATGCCTGCTTGTCCTACGCCAAATATCATTTGATGATGCCAAGCATCTGGAATATCAGAACCTTCACCACAATGTTGTAGATTTAATGTAGCTATAGGTGCAGCTCCTAAAAAACAATACAAAAATTTTTAATAATCAAACAATTACGTATATATAATGTAGAAATGAATCTTGTACCTTTAGAAATCCAATAATGTAACCAATGTGAAAGTGAAACTTTTCTTTCAGGATAAAAGGAAAAAAATTTTGTAATGACTGCTCCACTTGTCGATAATGATATTCCTTTTGCTATGTCTTTATGAGTTGAACCCGCCAACGATCTACTCATTAAATATTGTGGAAGTGGTGAACCAAGATCTCTTAATCTAGTACTTACAGCTTTTACCAATACTTCTAAAGAGAAGGAAACATCCAAGGCCAACTATAAAAAATACACCATTAATAAGTGACACGATTTAGATATTTCTAGTTTAATATAATTTTGATAAATAAAATTTACCAAAGCATTGATGGCAGAAGTAGCACCACATGCAGAAGTTGCGATTTGAGTGACTTGTTTAACCGTAGCCTCTTGCTCGCTCCACAACATTATTTTTTCAACCGGTGGAAGTCCATCAATTTGTTCATTACATAGTTCATTTTCCTAAAAGTATAAATTATATTTTATATATATATATATATATATAAATACTAAAGAATATTATATAGTATTATTGATGATGATGATGATGATGAAGAAGAAGAGAAAGAGGAAGAGGATTAAGAAGAAAAAGTAAATCATCATCATCATAATAAAAATAATAAAAATAATAAAAATAATAATAATAATAATAATAACAATAATAACAATAATAATAATAAGAATAATAATAATAATAATAATGTACAAACCAAGTTTGAATCGCCACTCTGATTAAAAGCAGTTTGTTTATTAAGCATTAATTTTTTTGCCATCATTCGATGATAAAGGGTAGAGCTAAGATTTACTTTTCTTGAATTTAAATTTGAGTTTCCTGGAATGGATACAGTAGAGGTCTCTGACCATAACTCTGAGTCAGAATCTCGATTATCTCCAGGAGATATTAAATCACCACTTGTATTATGATATCCATAAGATTCACGTAGAGGACATCCTAAGTTTCTGTGGGATCCAATAGATTCTGTCCTTCCATGAAGATTGGAATGGCATCCTGAATTTTGTTTGATAACATATCATTATAACATTGTTTGCAAAGTAAGGCTCATTAAGTTCTTCTTATTGGCTTACCAGTTCCACTGCTAGTACTTGGCATCCAAGAAGATGAATAAATTTGTTTGGAACTTTGCTCGCTGGTTGATCGACTGTTAGAACATTGTTGAATGGCTGTATGGGTAACATTCTGTCCGGTTTGAGCGTTATGTTGGGGTACAGTTGCTATTCCTTGTCTGGATACAACTTTACCACTACTCAAATCATTTAAAACAGGATCTGCCTCTGCATTATCTAATGTTATATTTTGTATGTCTTCATTTATAGAAGCCAAATCGCTGTCTCCTGTATCCTATATAGGGAAACAAAAAAAAAAGGAAAGAAAAAAAAAAAGGAAAAAGTAAAAAAAGAAAAAAAAAAAAAAAAAGAAAAATAAAAATAAAAAAAAATAAAATTTCAATATTAAAATCAACTAGTTCTCCTTGGCATTTGAATTTGTTACCTGCTCGCAAGAAGGTCCAGGATCAAAGTCCATTTCTAGAAAGTCCATCTCTGGACTAGATCTACCACTATGACACTGTCCGATTTCATGCTCTACAACTTGGCCTTGATTTACTTCCTCTTTCTGATCCAAATTAACTATATTATCATTCCCTTTATACGTATAAATACAATAATCTTCTCCGTCTGACATATCTCCTTCATTTCCGGAACTAGAATCTCTTCTGTCAATTGTATCTTTTTGAAAACACTAAGAAATATTATATGATTTAGTATAATTGTATATTTTCTTATTGTTCAATTTTTTAATTACTTAGATAATTTTTTATAATTTTATAATTACTTTTTGTAAACCACTTGGTCCGGCAACTTCTCTATTTCCATTGATATTAGGTCTTAGAAAACAACAAGTTCCTTGACTAGTTGAACCTATACTTCCTCCAATATTATTTAATACGCTAGCAGGCGTATAAGATTTTGAGGTACATAAATGATCAGCTTCTGGGCTGGAATCTGAACTGCAGGAAACTTTAGAAGGACATTTTTCTATTTCTGATGCATAATCAACATTATTTTTCATATCCGTATCATCGTTCGATCTATTACTAGATAAATGCTGTGAGATAGTGGACGAATTTGATATAGATGTATTCAAGTGTGTATTTGCATTTGATGCATTGACAGAACTATAAGAAACTGATGTAACTGTATTAGTCGGATGACAATTCAACTGATTGGAAGAAAGATTGAGGTGCATTTGAGGCTTAAGCAAGTTAAGAGTATTTGCATATACAATGGTCTTATGCTTCAATTGACTTGCAGAGTTAGTATTTGCGATATGCGATATGACACTTGTAGTATTTACAAAAGTGGAAGATGAATTTGCATTTGGTGTATCAGAAACAGTAACTTGTTCCAAGGAATGACTGCAACCCGATGTAGTAGCTTGCATCAAACTTGTTCCATTAGAAACCACTATTGAAGATTTGGAGGGTAATACACTCTTTACATCACTCTCACTAACATTATTATTCAATTTCAACTGCTCATCTGATACTTTATTTTGTATTTTAGTTGCTTTGGATAACCTATTTCCCTGTTCAGTTTTTGGATTATCACTTTTTTGTAAGCCACCATCCAATCTTGTTTCAGATTTTCCCTGTATCTTTCCATCTTCTTTGGAATTCATATTGTATAGTCTGTACTTGCAAACGACAATAGCTATTTACAATAATGTGACGAAATTTCGTCGTAGTATGGATCTGTACAAAGGAATATATTACACATTATAACCAAACGTGATTAATTAAATTAACTTACGTTCAATAAAAATTTTCATTTACTTACTAATGCATATCAGGAATTCATATGAAAACGAAGAAACCGTTTTATTCATCGAATCATAAAAAATACATCCAGATATACACGATAGTATAGATAAATAAAGAATAATATTTCGATAAATCGTAAATGCGTTGATCGTACCTACGAACCCTCACGTCCCTATAATCTACCATAATTCATCAATTAGACGAGACATTATTTTAACATTATATCGTTTGAATATTATACGAGACCACTTAAAACTATATACATCGGACCATAGACTATATAATTTATTAGGATTTAAGTAAATTTCTATTTTCTAGTAAAAATATTTCCCTTAAAGGATTCATCCTTTTTTTTATTAACAGCTCCTTCTTACATATATTACTTCCGGAAGTCAGCTGATCGTAAGGAATGAATATACGCACGAGTTAGTTAATCTTCGGACGACGACGACTTTGAAAAAATAGATAATATTGTCTAGGACAAATTAATGTTACACCTTATAGCTCATTCGATTACCGACGAAAAAAAACTACCGATTGAAGTAAGCTTTCATCTCGATACTTCTTTAAACAAATCACAGTATGTATTTACGAAGACGAATAATGCGATCGTAGTAAACCTGACGAACCCCTATTAATTTTTGATTGTAGCGCCATCTGAACTAAAACTTATAGATGTCACTAGAGTGGATTACAATAGAGAGCAGTTTGACGTTAGTGGTGTCTGCAGCTTTTCATTCTTTCGTTTGAGTGATTTGATTACGTTGCTAATAATTATACATTGTTTGGAGTAAGTTTTGAGTAATCAATTTTTATATCCATTATTTGTTGTATTATTTAGACAATTGTATATTATATTTTCTTGTAATTATTCTTTTGATATCAGTAATAAAACGTTATGCTTTTATTCTGTTCGTTATAATCAATACTATATATAAGCTGTTCTTACCTTTATCAAAAATAAAACAATATTTTAATTTCTGTGTATACTTATCTTATTTGTTAAGGAAGCATTATTTTTGTAATATATGATCTTAATTTTAATATATATATACATTTTTTTAAGTGCGGTTATTGTATATTTTTGTTGACATGACCCCATCTTAGTAACCTAAAAACATAAATGTTAATTATATTATGAATTCATACGTTTTTCCAATATTATCAGATAATTCTGTTTCATTTTCAGATTAGAATATTAAGATAGGAATCTATTCTAATCTTGTTACCTAGCCTTATTGGAAAAATGCAGATTTTTGTAAAAACTCTCACAGGAAAGACCATCACGTTAGAGGTCGAAGCATCTGATACGATAGAAAATGTAAAAGCAAAGATTCAAGACAAAGAAGGGATTCCTCCTGATCAACAAAGACTTATCTTTGCTGGCAAACAATTGGAAGATGGAAGAACTTTGTCTGATTATAATATTAAAAAAGAATCTACTCTTCATTTGGTATTGCGACTTCGCGGAGGCATGCAAATTTTTGTAAAAACTCTTACAGGCAAGACCATCACTTTAGAAGTTGAAGCATCAGATACAATAGAAAATGTAAAAGCAAAGATTCAAGACAAAGAAGGGATTCCTCCTGATCAACAAAGACTTATCTTTGCCGGGAAACAATTAGAAGATGGAAGAACTCTTTCAGATTATAACATTCAGAAAGAATCTACTTTACATTTGGTATTGCGACTTCGTGGGGGTATGCAAATTTTTGTAAAAACTCTCACGGGAAAGACCATCACGTTAGAGGTCGAAGCATCTGATACGATAGAAAATGTCAAGGCTAAAATACAAGATAAAGAAGGGATTCCTCCTGATCAACAAAGACTTATTTTTGCCGGGAAACAATTAGAAGATGGAAGAACTCTTTCAGATTATAACATTCAGAAAGAATCCACTCTTCATTTGGTATTGCGACTTCGCGGAGGCATGCAAATTTTTGTAAAAACTCTTACAGGCAAGACCATCACTTTAGAAGTTGAAGCATCAGATACGATAGAAAATGTCAAGGCTAAAATACAAGATAAAGAAGGGATTCCTCCTGATCAACAAAGACTTATCTTTGCCGGGAAACAATTAGAAGATGGAAGAACTCTTTCAGATTATAACATTCAGAAAGAATCCACTCTTCATTTGGTATTGCGACTTCGCGGAGGCATGCAAATTTTTGTAAAAACTCTTACAGGCAAGACCATCACTTTAGAAGTTGAAGCATCAGATACGATAGAAAATGTAAAAGCAAAGATTCAAGACAAAGAAGGGATTCCTCCTGATCAACAAAGACTTATCTTTGCCGGGAAACAATTAGAAGATGGAAGAACTCTTTTAGATTATAATATTCAGAAAGAATCTACTTTACATTTGGTTTTGCGTCTTCGTGGAGGCTCAAATACTTGAATCAAAGGATTATAAATCCTTATGTAGTAACATTTAGTAAACGTCGTAGTATATCAACTGATAGTAATTATACATTTTTTATATTTATTTAAAACCGTTATTTATACAATGTATGATACGGTTTAAACAAAAATCGTAATAAATGTGAGCATGAGCATTAATCATATGCAAATGTGCATGTGCTCCATATATATAAACATTAATCAATTAAAAGTTTTATTAATCCTTAATTATACTACATTATTATTTATCAAATATTATAATAATAAAATAAATCTCTCTCAAAATTTTCAAGCATAGTGTAGAGAAACTACAGCTTCGATTTTTCAAAGAATTAAAAGTAAGGTTATGATGTTAGAGTATAGATGGCATCACGAGTCTTCCTTAACAAACATATCTCTAATAACCAGAGTTCTATAATTAAGATAGAAATAGATTAATGTAAACATTTTCCTTGTAATATTTGTAAAAAAAAAAAAAAAACAACTATTGATATCGATAAAAAATATTTTTCAAAAACAATAGACATTCGTTAAGAAAAATTGAAGAGAAAAAGATGGTACTAAAATTCATTTTTAAATAATCGCACCTGAAACGTGCGAAATTTGAATAACAAACGACTAAACAGTTATTTTTTGTGTTCAAATTTACGTAACTTATCGAAAACTGTAGATAAAGTTAAACGACCGTATAAGTCTTATACGATGTGGTCCGCCTTCGACCCTGTGTTGCTTTTGTTTGGAGAACGGATCGAGAACAAGGTCACGCAGGTAAAATGGCAGTCGGAGTACCGAGATCGGTCGTTGCTTGACGATAACCTCGCGTCGTGACGCCTGTATCGTCTACGTTCTTTACTCGAATAAACGACTAGGTAATATTAATTCATTCAATGACGATAGGACAAGTGAAAATGATCGATATTTAGGATAGATCGAAATAATTTATTTTTACTAGGATAACAGAGATAGATCTTCTCGATCGATTTGGTAAGTTAATAACATTCCGGTATATTTTTAATCCACGTGAATCCATACATATATACATACATACGCGTATATAGAAATTTGTTGAATTATATATGTACAAAATTTGCCAAAATTCTTAATTATCTCGCCTTTTAAAATCTTTTAAAATCTTTGAAATTTTTGTCGCGCCATATAGGTAATTGTGCGGTATGATAATCGCAGGAGGCGTCGCACGCAGCCACTTGCGATCTGATAAAAGAGTTGCAAGAGAATTTTTTTACAATCTACGTGTTCTATATCAGAAGGCAATTCTGATAAAGGTTCTAGTTTCTATCTGATCGTTTGGGCGAAGCCTCATCGACGGTAACAATGAAAATGGAGGTACGTGTGCATATCTGTATACATATATATTTTGTTCATTTTTCTTTTTCTTACTATTTAAATTTTTACATCGTCTCAACTTTTATGCCTTTTTACTATTTAAATTTTTACGTCGACTCAACTTCTATGCCTTAAATTAAAAAAGCATTTTTTTTGGTTGATAGCGAATCGAAGATAAAACTGCATTTGTCATTACGAACATGTAAAATTATGTACAAGTTAGTTTTACGTGTATGTATATATACATATATACATATATTTTAGTCATTTGTAGAAAAGTATTCTCTTTCCTTTCCTCCTACTTATTATTTTTGTTATAAATAATAAATAATTAAGTAGAACGGCATAAAAATTGTCACGTTGTAAAGATAAATATTTGATGAAGATATCGTTGATGTAGTGCATAAGAGAGTATCGTTGAAAATTATGAGTAAAATCACGTACTTAAGATCATACGTGCGTCATCGTACATGTATGTATTAAATACATTTATTTTCGTATTCCTATATATGTAGGAAGTACAAATAAATTTTCTAGGAATTGTAACGTTTATTACTCAAGATCTATTCTAGTTAAAAGACTTACTTAGAATCATCCGATTTATTACCCATGTACTTACGTGTATTTACTACGTAACAAATTTGATGGTATAGATAACGTTTGTAGATCATAATAATTTAATTATAATTTTAGTATAGTACTATAAGTACTATATTATTTATAATAATAAAAATAATAATATAATGATAAAAGATAACTCTCTCTAAAACGTAACAAATATGGATCCTTTTAGCTTATACCGATAATCAAGAATTATAGTTGCAAATATATGTGTGTCAAGAAGTTTAAACATTATCGTAGAAACGTTTTTAAAGTATTTCAATGTTGTTATTCTTTAAGTAAAGTTATTATTTTAGTAAAGTGAAATAAAAATTAGCATTTAATAAAAAATAGTCGTCGAGTTACTATTCAAATTAGTTAGCGGCTAGACATTTTTAATCTACGCTCGATAAAATGATTCTTAAAAAGGAAAAAAAGAGTCACGAGTACTCGTATAATCTTGTAGAATCGTTCATCAAAAAATTAATATTAGAAAGTTTCCTTTAATAATTCAAATTATTTGTATTGAAAATATTTATAAAAAAAAAATTAAATATTCTTAGAGAAATTCTCGTCCCTTCTCTTTTCGATTTCGCAGATTTAACGAAATTCTTTATAAAAAGATTTCTCTCGAATATAACCGTTAATTAAATTTATAAGATAATTATTAATAGCCTAAGTATATATATATATATATATATATGTATATATATATATATATATATATATATATATATATATATATATATATATACTATAATTCAGTAGACGAATCTTTTACAGAACACTTGTTCCAAAGCAACAGATGTTTCTGTGAAGCAGGTATACAATTACGTTGAGAAACACCTGTGATACTTTTGTTTGATCACTATAGATCCCTCATCTCTCTCATCAAATTTTTTTCTTCGGTACAATAACATAGATATATTTGAAATTGAAATGAAAGAAAAATTTATGTAGATCGTAAAATTCATTTTCTCTCAAACTTTCCTAATCGATTCGATCAAGTAACGAGAACTGTATCGAGTATTTTATAGTAATTAGTAAAGATTATTTCAACATAAGATTATATTAAGTATTCGTTAAGCATAATTATATTAGTGATTGTTACTATAATTATTTCATAACCATATCTTTTACGCGATATTATCATTGATTATTTATCTAAGTACTCATATTTAAAAATAAACGAAATTACATAAAGAATGCACGTGATTTCGTATTGTGTTCGAGGACGCACGTAAAAGTTCAAAAAAAATATATCGGCGCTTCTTCTTTTTTCTAAATGAAGAAAAAATGAATTTTCTCGATCGGAAGGTGTTCGAAAGGAGGCAACAAGACAAGTCAGGAAGATCCGTGGCCCATTTTTTTTAGAAAGGAAGCAACCAACCAGCTTACGGTTCAGCTGGCATGTTACATCGAAGCACAGCAGTCGCTGTTAGTTTTCTGCGAGCGGCATTCCTGAGTGCCGCTCGAGTGCAGCTGCTTGAGTAAAATCCGTAAAGTAGAGAGAGAGGAACTCACAAATTGGATAAATATTTTAGTTCCTACGCGGAAGTTGTCCGATTAGGAGTTTCGCAGTTCTTTTGTTTTAGATTTATACATCTACAAAAATTTATACTCATTTAAGTATCATTTGAAGTGACTTTCAAAAAAAAAAGAAAAAAGTAAAAAAGAAAGTGTAACATCTAATCTGACTTTTCTTAGAAATCAAAAAAGATCGATCTATCGATAGATCGATGTGAAACATTCGAAATGATTCATAGATTTGAGTCACAAACAAGAGCACGTGTATCGATATCAAGATTTAATCACAAAAAACCTATATTATTGGATACTTTCTTTTTTTTTAAATTGCAATAAGGACAAAAACCTGGATGATCAAGCCCGATCATATTGCTACTGAACACACAACCTGTTTTTTGGAATTCACTTCCCGTTAGCATCAAGATCGGTAGCACTATGGTCGTTTGGTATTCCAGGTATTTCGCCGTTACCTTTCTTTTTGTCGATTAATGTCAGTTCTTTTCCTTACTTTGCTTGTTTTTCCTGAAGAAGTCAAAGGTCATGAGATAAATTATTGTATTCATTGAGTTTATTAACGAATCGCAGATAGATCATGAGTTTCATATTACGTATTCGCTTTAATAATTTTTATTGCTTTATAACTTGTGATAACACAAAAAAAATTAGATATTTGTAATTATTTGTCATTGTAAAAATATCATGATATAAATAAATAATTATATAGAAAATAAAGAAATAATCTGAGAAACATTCAAAGTAATAAAATGTTTAATGTTAAAAGATAAAAATTGTGTAATAAAATTATAGTATAACGTAGGTAATCTCGTTTTTAGGCGGAGCATAGATTGGAGCAGTTAAAAAAGGCAACAGACAGAATACAAAAGGAGATCGAAGAGGTCACGGAGAGGGAGCACGAACTACGAAACGTGGGTAGCATTAAAACCACGTCGCACGAGACAGTGGATTCCAAGGTGGGTATATCTAAGGGAGAGAGAGAGGGAGAGAAAAAGAGAGAGGGAGAGAGAGAGAGAGAGAAATCTTGGTACATACGAAGGTGATCGAGCTCAAGGTCGCTCAACGTCGAAGGAAAGTGAGCACGTCGGTGTGATACTTATATGGATCCAAAATGTGCATTCTTTGCATGCTTTATACGTGCTTTCTTCCTAATACAAGAATCATTTAGATTAGATTTTTCATTGAAATTTCAATCCACGTTTAGTCGAATGTGTTGTCGATAGTTAAAAATTATATTTATATATATATACATATATATATATATATATATATTTTAGAATATATAGAAATATCTAATTTGCTAATTTGAAAATAAAGTCATCCACCCGTTGAAAGATAAATCTCTCCTAAGTGAAGAATCTCTGGAGTCTAACAAGTAGAACAGAACTAACGAATCATCAAGAATGAATTCGTGCAATAAACTTAGACTAACTCAGTAATAAGACTATTTAGTATTTAACGGACGCGTGACTAACGAATAAAAGCGTAAGAAAATGATTTTAAAGTATGTACATTGATATAAATTTAGGTGAGACGTATGCCGCAAGCTTTGGCATCGAATAAATTGAAGAGGGCAACATCAACGCCGCAAATTCTCGAAGCTGTTAATCTTGTCCCTTCAACGCAATCTATTCTACCAAAAATGACGAACGGTGTGATATCTTCAAATTCAACAACGAGACCTTTACGTTTTGCTACAGCACCTAGCCAGAAAGGATTGATGCATAGGTTCTTAGCAACAAGAGGAAAGATTTATAAATCTAATACAACACCTAATGATCTTATAACTTCGTCTATCACTGTACCTACCATTGCACTTAATCCTATAAGCGTAAAAGCTTTTAATCGTAGTTTGAAGATACAACTTGAGCCAGATGATGAACCTAAAAAACCTCCTGTTAGGAAGGGTTATGTACCTGTTGAAGAGAAAATTCAAAAAGAATTGCACGAGATGAAGGAACGAGAAAATGAACTTAGGTGAGTAATCGATCATAATATTTATTAATAATAATAAGAGAAAAAGAAAATGAGAGCATACAATGTAGGTACAGTGATGCAAATTGTGAATGAGCTATTAGTATACTTTTCTTACCTTTTAATATATTATCTGTGTATGTAATGTACAAAACTTGATATAGAAATTTCATAGATTTTTTCTTTCTTTTTTCTAGATTAATGCGTTCTCAAATGTTAGCAAAATCTCAACCGAATCTTTTAGACATCGGTAACGACAATGATTCCGATATTTACGATGGTACAGGCTCTTTAAGAAGCGGAGCATCATCTAATACGTTAAACGAAGATGAAATAGAAAGAGAAAACAAAGGCAAACATAAGGTATAATTATTTTATTTGCTTGACTATCCCGAAAATTTTCATTGATTTATCATCATACGAGTTTACCATGATTTTTTATAAAGTTTTAACGCTCAGACATCTAATCGTTTTATCTAATCGATATTCTTATCTATTACCGAGAATCTGTTACTTTCATTGCTTTTTAAAAGTATTATTGAGATCGTAAAATACACTTTTGTTTTTTTTACTTAAAAACGAAATCGATTAATCATTCAATTATTATGAAATTAATATTGGATTAGAAGTAAGAGAAGTAGCATCATATAAGTTTAATTTGTGTTTCAAGTGAAATTATTTTTAGCCGAATCCACGACGTCGAAGTACTCTCATCGCTCAATGGGAAAGTCTTATAGCTGCAAAGAAAGAATCCACTGAAAATAATCATGAAAACGATAATGCTTTTTGAAAAATGATTTATCGTTAATGTTTTTCTAAGGTCTTTTCTGTCCTATTTGTTCCGTACGTTTGATAAATTTATTATTTAATCTCTTTATATATATTTTTTAGGTATGTGATATACATACATATATATATATATGTGTGTGTGTGTATTTTCTATGTATTACTAAGTAATAAGTTATAAACGAATATTTATTAATACATAAAGACTTGAATAAAAATGTATACATGCGCACGTGCACAGATTGCGGTGTAGACGTTGCATACTGCGGATATTATAATAATTTGTAATATATTTTTCCGCTTTTTTATACATAACTATTAGAATCTTAGGGAATACTATCGATTGAATATCTGTTTTTTGTTGTTGAAAATAACAAAGTACGTTTAAGTTAGTAATTAATTAAGAATTAGTTCTGAAATATATTTTTTTACTAGCAAGAACAAGTATATACAAAATAACTTGTAATATTTACTCAACAAAAAGATACATATACATGTATACAGTAATTAGTTGAAAACTACAAATTAGGTAAGAAAGTAAATTCAAATGTATATGTGATCGTATTATTGCTATACGTATATATAACGATGCTAATCAAAACTATTCGTGCAATCTCTGTTGATATGGTGCCGAATTTCATACTAATTTATTAAGTTATGTTTTCGATCTTATTATTATCTATATTAATCTCATACTTATTCAAATATGCATACACATTTATTTTCGTTTAATTAATTCATAGAAAATGTTTTGGTTATTATATTCTTTTAAAAAACGTGTTGTTTTTATGTTAAGAGCATAGTATACTTAAGTGTATACTTTATAAATATAAATGATTATAATTCTACTTGTTTTATAAAGATTTTCTGTATCTAATATAGATCTCAGTTTATCATTTAAATACTACTTTATAAAAGATAGTTATAATTGTTTGTATGAAATTAGTACTTCACAACCAATAATAATAGTTCTTAAAATTTCTTAATGCTGAAGGATATAGCAAAAACTTTATAAATACAAAATATTGTTTATGTTTATAATTAACATTACGTTTTCTCATAATAACATTAATATTTTATATTGATCCATGTTTAATAAGTAATGTACGAAATTAGTTTACCTGTACACTAATAATATTACAAAATATTATAGTATAAATAAATAATATTTCTTATAATTTGTGATATATGTCTCTTACTTTGAAACATATCTTTAGTGATAGTTGATTAAATAAATATCTTACTTATCTACAGTAAAATAAGACTGAGATTTGTATTATTCGTTTCCACCGCTATTATGGTGGCGTTGTTAGTCATTCCTTATGGGTTTTTTGTGAACAACCCACTATGTAAAAAAACTTTGCATATTAAGTAATAATTGTGATATATTTATTTAACTTTATCAGGTACACTGTAGTTTAATCAGACAATTTTTTTCGGCAGCTATGGCTGTGGTCTTAAGAAGAATCAAAGAAAGAATGAATGATTTCTTTTTTGTTCCGGCGTCTTTGTTGCCTCTTTTATTTTCGACGTCTTTGTTTTTCGACGTCTTTCACTTTGTTTGCTTGGTTTCCCACATTATGTTTAGTGGCGCCGAGGCGTGTTAGTTATGTGTTTTGCCAGAGGTGGCGTAACAATTGTAACGAAGTCACCACATTCTAATTCGTTTTAACACTGCCTTATGGATAATTACTATTTATTGTATGATTCAATTTTGACAAGTATGATCTGTTAAAACTTTAAAATAATTTAAGTAATTTAATATTTTTATATTAGTTGAACAATGGAAGAATTACAGAAAAGGATCGCAGAGCTCGAAAGGGAATTACAAGAAGAGAAATGTAGAAATGCAATTACTACACGCGAAAAGATTGAACATATGTCTGGTGAAGTCATAGATTCTAACCCTTATAGGTATTTCAATAACAAATTGATAAGTATATCCTTTTAATTATTTTATTTTGTTATATAAAATAGATATAGATTGAAATAAAATATATTTATAGTTTATTTTACTTTATAGTCGTCTAATGGCATTGAAACGTATGGGTATTGTTAATAATTATGAAGATATACGACAAAAAACAGTAGCTATTGTTGGGGTTGGAGGAGTTGGTAGTGTAGCTGCAGAAATGTTAACAAGATGTGGTATAGGAAAGGTTAGCAGAAAAATTATTTTAAATATCTGTAATGTTACTTCCATATTATCCAATTATATCATATTTTTGTCTTTTTATTATATTTGTATAAAAATATGATGTATTTTAGCTAATTCTTTTTGATTATGACAAAGTGGAATTAGCAAATATGAATAGATTATTTTTTCAACCGTATCAAGCAGGACAAAGTAAAGTGGAAGCTGCTGCCAAGACTTTACAATATATTAATCCTGATGTAGAAATTGAATCGCATAATTATAATATTACAACTGTAGATAACTTTCAAGATTTTATGACTACGATAAGGTATATTTTATATATATATATATGAAATTTTGATTATTATATATGAGACAAATTTATTACAGAGTAATTAACTTTTATCTTGTAATATGAATTCTAGTACATCGAGCTTAATGAATGGCCCTGTGGATTTAGTCTTAAGTTGTGTAGATAATTTTGAAGCACGCATGGCAATAAATACTGCTTGTAATGAACTCAATCAGTTATGGTTTGAAAGCGGAGTTTCAGAAAATGCGGTTTCTGGGCATATTCAATTTCTTATACCAGGAGAGACAGCTTGCTTTGCTGTAAGATACTTTACAGTATATAATTTATATAATTTATAAATCTATTCTTCAATTTTTTTTAATTTATTCATTTTTAGTGTGCGCCACCTTTGGTTGTAGCATCAAATATTGATGAAAAAACTTTAAAGAGAGATGGTGTATGTGCTGCATCATTACCCACAACTATGGGTATAGTAGCAGGCTTTTTGGTACAGAATACTTTGAAATTTTTACTTTGCTTTGGAAATGTAACATATTATTTAGGTTATAATGCATTGCAAGATTTTTTTCCAACAATGATGTTAAAGCCAAATCCAAATTGTGAAGATAATTATTGTAGACAAAGACAACAAGAATATCAAGCAAAACCAAAAGTTGAAAAGCCTGTTGAAGAAGTTAGTGATATAAAACCTTTGCACGAGGACAATGAATGGGGTACATAACAAAATTATTATCAGTAATGTATAATATTTATAATATAGGTAATTATTTAGTAGTAATTTTTTTACAGGAATCTCCTTAGTTGAGGAATATGAACAGCAAGAAGAAGAAGATGCTCAATTACTTAATACTGGTTTAAAACAAGCTTATACCGTATCTGTACAACCAACTAACCCTCCAAATGAAATAGCAAATACATCCGGTCCAAGCCTAGAAGAACTTGTGCAGCAAATGAAATCTTTATAATATTTTTAGACCTTACAAAAGTGTCTATAAAATTATACAAAATTAAATATTGTATACATTCCATGGAACAATAATAACACAAAATTTTTTAAACAAATGTTTTTGCATATTCACATTATTGAGAAATAAAATTAAAAATAAATTTTGTTAGATTAAAATATAAAAATAAAAAATAGAATTGACATATTAGCTTATATAATTTTATTAAATATTTTAGCCATACATCACTAGAATCAAGCGAATGTAAATGCGGAATGAAAATACAAAACCATATAAACGTTAATGTTTATGAGTGAAATCTGTGAGCTTTCAAGAAATGTATCACAAAATCTTGAAATGGAAGTGACATGAGGTTGATGATACCGTACAATTATATTTTTCCAAGATAATAGCATTTGAATACAATTGATTTATTGTGTCTCTGTTCACAATCAGTTAATAGATGAATTTTAAGATAAATATTGTTCAATGAAGTATAACAAATATAAAAAGACATTTTTATATAAATACATTATATATTCCAATGAAATTTTAGAACAATTGAAAAAAGTAAATATTAAACAAAGCATAGAAAATAAAAAAAAGGATGAACTCAGAGAGTTTTTTTACTTTTTGCATAAATTCATCCTAAAATACATCTGTGAATAGAGAACAGAAAAATATTAATCAGATTTGATACTAATTATTATTCTTCATCATCACGAACTCCACCAGGTGGTGCTTTTGGACCTCCAGCACGCTTTGCCATAATAATTTGATCAACTTTAAGCACAGTACAAGCAACTTCCACTGCATACTTAAGAGCCCATTGCTTGGTAAGGAATAAATCTAAAATTCCTGCTTTAACTGTGTCCACAAGAGCAGTACCTTCACCCTATAATATTAATATTAATTAATTTTTACTAAGAAAATAAAATATGTTTAGAAATATAATTAAGAAAATTACTAACGTCGATATCAAATCCGTAAGTTTTTTTACCCTCTTTATGGGCAGCATACAATTTAGAAAGTAATTCAGATGCATGATTACCACTATTCTCTGCTAAAGTTTTTGGAAATACTTCCAAAGCCGTACTAAATCTATGTGCTGCATATTGTGCTAAACCTGGCAAAGTATCAGCATAAGAAGCAAGATGTGAAGCCAGCTCAATTTCAGTAGCACCAGCTCCAGGAAGAAATCTGCCATCTCTTGTAATTCCTTTAAAAGTATTAACGCCATCATCTATTGCTCGCTCAATATCATCCATATAATTTTCTGTAGATCCTCTAACAAGTATAGTGCTAACACGACTATCTTTTCCATCTAATCTAAAGATCACTACTATAGTGTCTCCTAATTCATCGATGTAAACAGAATCAGCATATCCTAATTCTTCTTTCGATGGTGCAACTAACTTCGAAAGAGCCGTTGCTCCAACAGTTTTTGATAACCGTCTAATATCGAATTTACTAGGTATACGAACAGCCATTAAATTGTACTTAATCATATAATGAAGAGCCATATCACCAAACTTTCCACCCGATACTACAACTGTAGCTCCAGTAGCTGCAATTGCTTTTATTTGTGTTTCTAATAGAGATTCTTCTCCACGTGAAAATTGCATCAACTCATCTGCGCTCTTTATTAATACTGTTCCCTTAGTTTCTGTTTGCGTGATATCAACAGGACAAGTATAAACAGCAATCTTAGCATTGGACTGTTTTGTTACATTTCCTTCTACTTGACGTTTAAATACCATTCCATTTACTACTTGAGAGGATGTTAAACCACCTCCAAGTATTTTACAAACACGTACATTGTCTACATTAAATGTAGTTTTTTCGGGTAAAATAGATACACATGCTTTGCTAACAAGAGATGCTAGAAGGTCTTCATTTCCATATTGTTTGCTCATTATAGATGTTTTGATTCCAACTTTCATTTCTTCTTCATTCTGATGATCTTTTATTTCGTGAACAACCAAAGTAGGAAGAATTTCTAATGCTTTTTCTAATGCTCCTTCATAACCTTCCACTATTTCGGATGTAGTTATACCCTACCAAAAAATATAACTTACTTCTTAATACAAAATTTAATAAAAAACACTTTATAAAATTTTCATTATTTATAATTTAATACCAAACGAAGAAGTTCTTCTGCAGCTTCAAGTAAAGCTCCGGCAAATATGATAACAAAATTTGTACCATCTCCAGCTTCTGCTTCTTGCATTTTCGATGCAAGAACTAACAATTTTGCAGCAGGATGCTCTACTTCTAATTCGTTAATAATTGTAGCTGCATCATTAGTGACAAATAATTTTTCGATATGATTAATAATCATTTTATTCATGCCATTTGGGCCATACGCAGTTCTCACTGTTTGTGCAAACTGTTTACAAGCAGATATGTTTCTATATACTGCTTCTTCTAACCCGGAGAAGTACTGTTAAAAAAGCAAATTCATAATATTTTGTTGGTAACAAAAATAAATTTTTTTTTACAATATCATGCAGTTACTATAATCAGTAAAAAGATTTGTACATAATTAATAACTATAAAATATACAGAATTTTATAATTATTAATTGTAAGTAAAATTTAATATTTATTTGAATTTACAAATTATAAATAAATTGTTAAATAATAATAATATGATATGTTGTAGATATTAAAAAGCAACTATATAACGTATTTATGAATATTATAATATTTTATAATCATATGTAAACCTAGTACCAAGAATGTCTATAAAAGGTAATGACGTCGATGGCGGTATCGATATTACATTCATTGCATTTTTGAGTATAATAATTTGCAATACAACATTGAATTTTGATAAATTGGTTAATATATACTTACACGAGCACCATCTTTTAACATTTGGGCAACGCCCGGTGCTTTTGGTACGTGTAAAGCCATCTTTTAACAAAAAACTCGAAAAACTACAACCTCACGTGTTATAAAATAATGATTACTATACGCCGAGCATAAACTCAACAAGAACCTTCTTTTTAAAGATAGATCTTTCCTTAGTAGTAACGTATTGTAATTGTGAATTTCCAAAAATCAGCTACATAGGAGCGCTGAAAATATCCAATCATTGTTAAGAAGAAATAATTTTGATTGGTTGAATCCGACAATCATTAACCAATTATAATAATGCATATATAATTTTTTTAGTATATTTTAAAGTTTTTAATTAAAAGTTATTAATATGTGTCTAAGTTAATTAAATAATTATTTTTAAATTACGTATCTGTTATATGTGTATATATCTAGCTTTTCAATTGTAGATGGTGCTTCGAGTTAAGTCAATACGTGGCAATTACGAAGCTTCGATAAATGTCACTTGTCAATAAATTGAAGTTGTCACTGATAGGTGTAGTATACAATTTGAATGGCTCAAATTGTTTTTATTATATATATATATATATAAGTATAATGTGTATGTGTATATATATATATAATATATTAAGTATAATATATATATATATATATATATATGATTTTACCTTATCTCTAATTGATCGCTTGAAACTTCTCTTTTCTAGAGAAATATACGTATTAATATAAAAATATTTTTTCAGAGTAATTGTACGCATTAAAACATCATGAACATTCAATATATAAAGAATGTAGAAAATTCAATATACAGTAAACAACATAATGGACTTATACAATATGGAACCTCTGGTTTTCGAACCAAGTAAATATATTTTTTATATTATTTAAATTTGGACAATTTTATATTTATTATATATATTATATTATTATTTTTTACTAATTCAATTTTAGGGCAGATTATTTGGAGCATGTACTTTATCGAATGGGAGTTTTAGCTGTCCTTAGATCCAAGATATGTAATGGTAAGAAATAATTTCTTTTGCTATTTTCATATCATTAAAAAAAAATTACTTTTAATCAATATCTTATATTTAATGATCTAAATCTTTAATCTAAATCTTATATTTAATTTATCTGATATAAAATAAAAAGTTTTATTATATTATAGCTGCAATTGGATTGATGATAACAGCTAGTCACAATGTAGAATCAGATAATGGCGTAAAATTAGTTGATCCTAATGGTGAGATGTTAGAAACATCTTGGGAAATAATAGCTAATGATTTAGCTAATGCAAATGACACTGATGTTATAACTGTTATTCAACGTATTATAAATGAACTAAAAATTGATATGTCTGTGAGTGCAACAGTAATAACAGGCAGAGATACAAGAAAAAGTAGTCCTAGTTTATTAGATGCTGCACTTGCAGGTATTAGAGCCTTGAACGGTATTGTAAAAGATTTTGGAATTGTTACCACACCTCAATTACATTATCTTGTTGTTTGTACAAATACTAATGGCAATTATGGAGAACCAACATTGGATGGCTATTATACTAAATTTTCAAAGGCTTTCGAACGTATGAGAAAATACAAGAATTCATTTAATAATGATAAATATATAGCAGAGTTACAATTGGATGCAGCAAATGGTGTTGGTGCACTTGCTATGAAAGAATTTCAGAAACACATAGGTTCTGCACTCAAAGTTAATATTTATAATGATGGAAATGGAGAACTAAATCATATGGTATGTAACTTTGTGAAAAATCATATTACTAATTAGGATAAAAGAATATATATTTTTCTTTTTACAGTGTGGAGCTGACTATGTTAAAATACAACAAAAAGTACCATTAAATATGCAACAGGAAGCAAATGTTAGATGTGCTTCCATAGATGGAGATGCAGACAGAATAGTTTATTTTTATGTAGATGAAATCAAAAAATTTCATATTCTTGATGGAGATCGTATAGCTACTCTTGTAGCAGGTTATATCAAAGAGCTTCTTGAAGAAAGTTCTTTGCAATTAAATCTTGGCCTAGTTCAAACTGCATACGCTAATGCAGGTTCATCTAATTATATTTCGCAAAAATTGGTATATATTTATTTACCTCCTTATTGTTAGAGTAATTTTTAAATTAAATATTTTATTGAAAAATTATATTTAGAAAGTTCCAGTTGCATGTGTTTCAACAGGTGTAAAACATTTGCACAGTAAAGCAACAGAATTTGATATTGGTGTTTATTTTGAAGCAAATGGTCATGGGACTGTGGTTTTTAAAGAAACAGCTATCCAATCTATTTCAAATGCTGCAGAAAATCTTAAGTAAGATTTGATTTGTTAGAATTATAGATTTATACGCATATAATTTTACTAACATTTCATTATCGTTATAGGTTAAAAGAAAATGAACGTACTGCCGCTGGAAAATTAGTACATATTATAAATATTATTAATCAGACAGTTGGCGATGCCTTAAGCGATATGTTGTTAATAGAAACTATTTTACATTCCAAAGGATGGAGCATTATTGAATGGGAACAAAGTTATACAGATTTACCAAATAAACAAATGAAAGTCAAAGTTAAAGACAGAAATATTATTACAACAGCTAATGCAGAAAGACAGTGTGTTACACCAATAGGATTGCAAGATGAAATTGATAAAGTCGTAGCTAATTATTCAAAAGGAAGAAGCTTCATCAGGTATTTTATACATCTAAAAATAAATATTTTTATTCTAGTATTTTTATTTGAAATAATATGAATAAAATATTATTAGACCTTCTGGCACTGAGGACATAGTACGCGTTTATGCAGAATGTGAAAATCTATCTGATGTTGACAAATTGGCTGCAGAAGTATCTTTACTTGTTTATAGACTTGCTGGAGGTATTGGACCAGAACCTACTTTGTGATAACGACACTGATCTTATCTCAAACTTAACGCTTTTATCAAATCTGCATTTAGTTTTATCAAAAAAAGACAATACAGAAATTGTTTATTTTTAAGTAAGTCTAATTCTTTCCTTGTTTATTTTTGGCTGGATTTATACTGGATTTTTGAGATTATGTATATTATATCCTTCGATTTATGTAAAGTAATTAGGAAATAATAAATAAATAAACTCAGAAATTTATAAAATATTGGAAAATATATTTTTATATATATTGTAATACAGTGACTGTTTAAAAGTAATGTTGTTGATATATCGGCTATATATTTGAGATTTTTATTGATGAGAATATATATTTAATATTAATGTATTTAACGTATATGATTGTGTATATATATAATAAGATATAATGTATCAAAAGTTTGTTTTTTTGTTATATACTCTTGCGCAGTCATAGGCCGCATACATATTTATTAATAAGATTACAACGAAAAATTTATAAATGTATAAAAATTTTTTTTCCTAAAACTTATTATTCGATGATAAGAAATGTAAAATTTGCTTAACATTAAATTTTTTAATGTCGTGAAAGCGAGAGAAAGAAAAAAAAAATTTGGCAGCGATTTAAGCCAATTAAGATCGAAAGAAAGGTATATGGTTTTTCACGATCGGCCAATCATATGAAAGATTTCAGCTATTTCATGTATACTGCCATCTGGTGTTAAGAACTTGAATTATTCGATATTCTTACAGCGGAATCGAATCTTAATACTACAAAAAGTAGATCATAGCGTGTATGTCTGTCGGTTTGACCGAGAATTCGTACGGCAATAACTGTTGTAATCGTCAGACGCCATTTTGTGCCTCGTTTCGCTGTAGAGCGTCACGAAAGTTTCATCCTTTTTATTTTAATTTAATTTCGCCAAAACGTCGCAATTACATGTAAGTATGGCAAATTTTTCTTTTTCAACAATAATTAGCATAATTAGATTGTCGAGAAAAGAGCGGGATCGTACTATTTTTGTAGTATTGTAATGTAATGTAGACGATTGCATGGAGACATGTAAAAACCGGATACAGAAGGATAGGCTTCTTAAGGCGTATGCCTTAATTGGTCTGTGTATTTTAATAATACTTTAAATATATATTTATTTTATTTTACGAAAATATATTATCGAAAACTGTAAATATTAACAAAAAAATTGGATTCCCTCTAGTATTTATTCGACTGTAGTTTACGCGTCCTTCGGCCAACACTTGCACAATTACGTGATCACAATACTACCATTTTTTGGCCAAGCTTTCTGATTTCCCGGCAATGTAGTTTTCCTTGATATACAATTGGAGATACTTTAAATGTTAGATAATTTAAATATATGTATATCCATTTTTACTAATTCAAATATATGTATATACATTTTTACTAACGAAAGTAACCTTTTATATATATATATATATATATATATATATATATATATATATATATATACTTTTATGATATTTATAATATATGTAGTTAAAACATTTGTTTCAAAAAACATTTATTTATTGTATTATATTTCTAGCTTATTATTTTATAGAGCACATAGTAATATACAAAGCTGCTAATGTAACTACAATGCGATAATTATATTTTTTATATCTTACTACTTGATATTGAAACATAATTATTTTTTTTCCAGAAAATGGTGTCTTCTAATCAACCGGTAAGCGCATTTGTTACTTAGGATATTATATTTTATTTATTTCCAATGATAAGCATCAATTATTTTTGTTTACCAATTATTCTTAATCTGCTATTTTATAAAAAGCTATGCATATTTTTTTATAATTACACACTTCCCAGAAACTACAGGAAATACATATAAGGAAATTATACATAAATCCACTGTTCTCTAATAAAATGATTATTGAGCACCATTAATACAGATGGGTAAGTCAAAGCGGTCTATGATCTGACGCAGCAAATTTGAGTATGCATTTGTTTAATTTAAATATGCAAACTTTGTATTAGATTCTACAGATATTATATACGTTGTATAAATTATAATACACTTGATCAACAATGCTTTTGTTAGCTCAGTATAATTTGCATTGTCTATAACATAAATAATGTAAGTCTATGATATAAAAACTGAGCTAAAATAAATTCTCTAATAGACACCATGCTTGCTGTTACAGAAGTATGATCGTATCTAGAGATACATAAGCGTGTATACAAAGATAGTTGTCTTATATCTTCGTTTACTTTAAAGCATGATTACTTTAGTTTCATATATGTACTTAATCATAGACTAATTTTTGGCGTTAGAATAAGATACTTTATTTATGATATTTTGCATTTTTGCAGAGAAAAACAAAAATATTTGTGGGGCGGTTGCCAGAAAATTGTCGCAACGATGAGTTGCGACAATTATTTTTACGCTTCGGCGAGGTGACGGAATGTGACGTTATGAATCGATACGGCTTTGTACACATGGCACGAGAGGAGGATGCAGCTGCAGCTATCAAGGCGCTCCACAATTCCAACTTCAAGGGGGCAACCATCAACGTGGAGCAGTCAACTGGGAAGTCACGCGGAGGCGGTGGAGGACGCAGGGATGGAGACAGAAGAGGCGGACCAATGAGAGGTGGTAGAGGAGGACGAGACGGTGGTAGAGACGCTCGTCCTGGACCATACAATGATAGAAGAGGTAAGTGATATCTTTTATATTACATTTTTCGACGATGCTATCTTCTCATCCATTCTATAATTAACTCTGCATCTTAATATTTATATTTTATTTTTATAATGTAGAAGTAACATTCTAATCTTATAAATTCTGTATTGATTAATAAAAATGAGAATATAGCACGTTGATTTTAAGTGTCTGTTCATTTCAAATTTAAAACCAACTGGAATATTCGGCGTGCTTTACAGTTCTTCCGATCCAACTCGTTGGTTACGATGGATCTGCTGCAGGTGGCGTCGCAGCTGGCTATACCGATTACAATCGTGGTGCTGGGGACTTTAGTGGACGAGGGACTGACTTTGGCACTGGGTATACCGACCGTGGAGCATATGGCCAGAACGTGGGAACTGCTGCGATGGGATATACCTCAACGGCGCCAGGGATGGGTGGAGGCTATGGACCTGCTGCTGCTGTAGGAGGATATGGCCCAACGGGAACGGCTGATTATGGCAGGACTGCTGATTATACCCGTGCTGCAGATTTTGGAGCGAGAACAGATTATGGTAACATAATGGTCTATTTTATCATAATGATCTGACATTATATTAAGTAAATGATTCAAATGAGTATATCAAGTGAAATTATTGAAAAAAGTAAAGAAATAATAAATACAGCTTGAGTCTAAGTCATTCCTTTATATAATTAACGAGAAATGTTGAAGATTAATACTGTAATAATTGTTAAAATAATAAGGTCAGGTTGTTACAATTTCAATAGACATATATTTATATTATTTCCAGTAGTTGGAGCTGGTATGGCAGGTGATTTTAACCGTGGTGCACCAGGTCCGGTTGATTATGGTCGTACGGATAATTTCGGCGCAAGTCGCACAGTTGATTACACAGCTAGAAATGATTATGATCGCGCTGCGACCGGACCAATGAGAAATGGCGGTGCTGCCGTTGCCACAACAGGATATGGTACTGGATACACTGATGTTGGATATGATGAGAGTCATTGGTAAAGTTATTATATTTTTAAGAAATTTTTATTTATGTTCTTATTTGCAAAAACATAGGGAACATTCGATTGTTTTAAAAAAAGGAATATTCCCAATGATAATATTAAGTGTAGTTTCATTGTTGCATGTGATAAAAATAATATTGATTTTATATCGATGGTCATACGCGAATATCTTTTTGAGCCATTAAGTGTAAGAACATTAAAATGATCCATTTCATTGGAACTTTTTCAAATGCGCCTAACAAAGTTATCATAATTTAATCATTATCTCATAAAAATAAATTTGCACATCTACTAATCTGCTTAAGATCATGCACGGGTTTTAAAAAAAAAGAGAGAAAAAAAGAAGATGTGAGTGCATGTGGAAATTGAATAGTGTTAAACTTGTCCATTTTCCTAAGTGATTGTAGCATAGCTTCGTGAAATAATCGTAATCTAGTAGAAAATTTGAAAAAGTTACATCACAGGTACTTTTGGACTATCTATTTCAAGTCTTATATTATGACGATGTCTGCTATTCTTTATATGATATAATCTAAGCCAAAGCAGAAGGGTTTTGTGAGAACCACCATATATTCAACAGAACACTGACGTAAAAATTGTACGTGCTGCTGGTTCCGAGGTATGTAGTTTCATTGTTAAGTTGCAATGAAATATTCTTACACAGTTTTGATTAAACATGAGAAAGAAAAAGACGAATAAATAAAAAAAGCGATCGAGTAGACACATATTGGAAATAACGCGACAATCTCCTTCAGCTTTGAACGTTTCAACAATGGCTCACAAAATGTTCATGCCATAATAAGGAATGTCGTAACAGGTTATCGCAAAAAATAGAAAAGAAATAAACCAGGCATTGGTATATGCAAAAATATGAAGCGTGATAGAAAGCAAAAAGTAATGATTAGTTTTATGTTTTTAACAGCGAACTTCTATTCACTGTTTACATTCTTTTTCATTAGGCCAATGAGTACTGGTCCCAGCTACAGTACCGGTGCTCCCAGTTATAACACTGGTCCTGGACCACAAGCAGATATGTTTAGTAGAAGACCTGGTAGCGCTGTTCCCAGTGGTGGATACCCACCTGTTGGTGGAGGGTAAGCTAATCATTTATATTTTTAATTATTTTTTATTATTTAAGGTTTTGTACATATAAATAACTCGTTTCGTTTCA